AAATATGGTGCATATTTATGTATAGGATAGCTATTATAATACCTATTAGCTTTTCATTTCTTAGAATCTCAGAACTTAAAAGGACCTTAGAGCCGTTTTGCATACTCCAGAAGAAACAGCAACAACCTAACAAAAAGCAAGACCTTGCTGGTACTTGAACCCAGCACTCCTAACTATAGTCAATTCCCCTTTCACAAGAGCACAGGTTTGTGCCATATGAGAATAGTTGGTGGTAGGGCTGGCATTCTTTGAACGTCAGTTCCCTCTGTGACTAGACAAGGCACATGACATGCATTATAGTTATCATTTATCAAGTCAGATGTTTATCTTATTTATGCTATTGTGCATACTTTGGGATAATAAATAACTATCAACTTTCAATTTTTTTAAGAAGCAAATGAAAACATGTATGAAGTATTCTTTCTGCAATCTTCCTGACATCCATCTACCTCTTCCACTTCCACTACATAAATCTCGGCTGTTCATATCATACCTGCACTACCTCAATGGTCTCTTTACTGACCTCTTGTTTACAGTGTCTCTTCATTTCAAGTTATCCTACTCACCACAGCCAGGTTAATGTTCACAAAACTTTGCCTATATAAACATTCTCCCTTGGCATAAATAAATACTCTCCATTGCTTTCAGAATAAAGTAAAAATTTCTGTCTGGAATTCAGAGCTCTCCACTACCTAATACAAATGTATTTCTAACTTCATTTCCTACATTTCTCGTTTGTACAACATTATAATCTGTATGATCTATTCAAAATCTCTTAAATATCCTTTGCTCATTTATTCATTCCTAGGATTCAATTCCCCCTATCTGAAACATATTCTCCTATCTTCACTGATATAAATTCCATCTATTTTCATGGTTCTTCTCAATGCTTGTGGCTCCGTGGATCTCTCTTGCATTCTGCCAATTGGCAATTATTTTAATCCATTCTGAGTTTACATTTTTACATATGTCTCTCAAACATAACATTATATAAAAATTACTTGCAATGCTTGTAAAATGCACATTTTCAGGCTCCATTCTAGATATTTGGATTCAGTAAATCAATGGTGAGCTCACAGAATTTTTGTTTTTAACAAAATTCACAAGTGATTCAGACTGTGGTGGACTTGTGATTATACTTTTAGAAACATCACATAGCAGTTATTATTTGGTTTATTTACTTGAACCTTAATTACACATTAATTTTCAGTTTGCAAATTTCCTATTTGCATCTCTGATTGCCCCAGTAAGATTGTAGATTAACTGAAGATAATGACGAAATATACACTTTTCTCTATTCTGTATAGTACTTAGTATATGCATGAAGCTAGTGCCCAATAAAATTTACTAAATTATCCATCTAAAATATGCTTATTACTAAGTTATCTGCAATTGCCATGTATATTTGCTAATGTATTTACTATCTGATCCCTTCTGTAGGGTATAATCTTCATGAGTGTAGAGCTTTATCTCTTATTCACATCTAAATCCCATCAATACTTAAAATGCAAGATTTTTTGCTCCATAAGTTGTGTTTCAAGAAATAGGCGAATAACAGGTGAGTGTCCTTCCTCATTAAATGATTTTCCTCTCCTAGTCACATTTAAAAACCGACAACAATAAGAACTATTTATATTATTTTGTCACTTTTTTGTTTGTTTCTTTCCAGCATCAATTTGAAAGATGTATCTCCAACTGAAATGTATCACCTCATGCAGTGGATGCTATGATGTGTCATTTTCTGCTCCTCCTTCTGCAAATGTTGATCCCAAGGAAATTCCTTAACAAATCTCTCCTGGCTGGGCACGGTGACTCATGCCTGTAATCCTAGCACTTTTGGAGGCTGAGGTGGGTGGATCAACTGTGGTCAGGAGTTTGAGACCAGCCTGGCCAACATGGTGAAACCCTGTCTCTACTGAAAAAAAAAAAAAAAAAAATTAGCTGGACGTGCTGATGCGTGCCTGTAATCCCAGCTACCCTAGAGGCTGAGGCAGGAGAATCTCTGGAACCCAGGAGTCGGAGGCTGCAGGGAGCCGAGACCCTGCTCAACTGCACTCCAGCCTGGGTGACACAGCAAGAATCCGTTTCAGAAACAAGCAAACAAACAAAATCCCTCTTCCTACTTATTAATCTGTAGCTCAGAGTTTGCTTCCCAGAGATAAAACTCCCTGTTACTCCAGTGGGGTCAGAGAAACCAGACACTGAATGGATTTTAAAGCTGGATCACCTGCCCTTTGCTGGAGATGAAATTGAGGATCCCATTATTGGTAGTAGGTGAGCACAAATAGCCCCTGAGCATGAGGTAGCAACAAATTATTAAAACTTTTATCAGTGGCAAACTGGGGTGGTGGAAGGGACAGCATTAGCTCATGCAATGCATTAGGCATTTGAGAATTATGGAAGGTATGGTGATTTCAAGGATATTGGACTTGGGTTGCTATTGCTAAGTTCTATCAATATTCTGGTAAAAGATAAGAAGCTAAAAGTGATTAATCTGCATTAAAAGCCAAATGTGAAAGCCAGAGGGCCTCTTTGGTGGCACACAAAGAAACTCAATAGGAAGAGAGCAGAGAAAGGCTGAAAGGGTTAGCAACCTCCTTTGTCTAAACAAAATATAGAGGCCTTTTTCCTAAAAGATAACAGGTATTCCTCCTTCAGTATTAACCTTCTCTCCCTGACCCTTGACCTCCTTGGCCATCAGGAAAATAATTTAGGAAAAAATTTACAATCACCTAGGTACGAATATACCAGGCCTACTAAGAGACAAAAGGAATTACACCTCTAAGGGATACTAGGACCTGACCAACATGAATTTGTATGAGGTGGGAGAGTATGCCTGGGACTACGCTCTGAGGATGCTGGTCCAAGGCAGGAGGGTAGAATATAAACCTGGATAATACTCTTCAAGGAATCAGAATTAATCACTCAGGAAAGAGTGATTAATCACATCTGGAAGATGATGTGAATGCATAGCTAGAATGCCACCTAGTAGCATGCCACTTAGATGGCCCATTCTAGGTGAGGTGGCAATTTTGGAACTGTCAAGGCAGATGGTAGAAGAAGAGATAAAAGTCTCAGAGATATTGGTATATTAAACATATAATATATGGCTGGAAAGCCCATTAGACATTTCTAATTTATGGGGGTGTGAAGGGACAGTAGGATACAGTATTTACTGAAATAATAATGAATATACTGGTGAGACTGAACCTGGTAATACTGAGAAGTTTATCTATTGCCCTTGTCTCTAGGCCAGGTGAGTGACAAATACCAATACAGAACTAAGATGACTAACAACAATGGGATAACATGGCTTAAAACAATAGAGGCCAGATGGTAACTGTTAACCATCAGAAGGGACATGGTCGCAATTGCCCTAGTGATAATTAAGACTGGAATTAAGTCAAGAGGTCAAGGAAGCCCAACTCAGTGTTATGGAGATAGTTAATAGAACACAGTGTCCCAGGAGTAACCCTAGGTAGGTAGCCAAAAAGTTTATCACTCCATCTATAACACCAAAGATAAATAATCAGGAGTCTGAGGGTTACTGCAGATATACTGATAAAAAAACCAAGAAGACCTACTCAGTTTCCATTTCAGAGCCAGATTTTGGACCTCAAATTCATTGACTGAAGAAAAGTCTGAGTCACCAGGTGAAAAGGTCTCCACAAAGCCACAGCAATTGTACATGGCTATGATTAACTGCCAAGTGTTTTCCCAAAGAGGCCTTCAGGTATTTACTCAGGTAACTGTAGTAGGAAAAGAAAAATAGCTGAACACTTTAAAGAATGTTGGACACAGGGCTGAGATGATATGACACCCTGAGACCTGAAGAGTTTCATGGGTACCCTGTTACGGTGGAATCATATGAGAATATATAATAAATTGTGTCCTGGCCCAGGAATAATTCCCAACAGGTCCACAAGATGTATAGACTCACCCAATAGTCATTTCTAGAGTCCTCAAATTTATAACAGTTATATTTGCTAGTTGGTGCCATCCCATATACTAGGTTCTTGGCCTGTGGTATATGAGCAATTGAAACCAAGTGGAAATCTCTGGAAATGCTCTATTCATACCCCTAGCCAAGAGTAAATAAAACGTAATATAGCATTCTTAGGGACTGACAGAAATTAGCATCACCTTTAAATCCTTAAAAGATGCAGGGTTGGTGGTCATCATTGTGTCTTCATTGAATATAGAAGCCTTTCCTCTGAAAAACAAAATATAGTGGACAAATATTGGAGCATAAAGTAGATTACTGTAAATTCAAGAAAATAGTAGCCCCAACTATTGCTGTGATGTCAGATGTGGTATATTTGCTAGAATGGAGTAACATGGCCTCAGAAACTCAGATAAGTGACCATTGATTTGATCTAGTGAATGTTGTCTTTTGTATCTTTATTAGAGAAAAAGGAACAGAAAACAGAATATATTTACAGCTATTCTGTCGTCTGTTATAACACAGTTTGAAGGAATCCAGGCTGCCTGGACATCTCACAGAATATCATACTGCTCCACTATTATATAAATGGCATTATTATAATTGTACTGGATGGGCAAGAAATAGCTAGCATGATGGAAATCTTGGTACATGTACTCCGGGTTTTGAGCAATAAACTCTACAAAAATTCAGGGTCCCATTGTGTTAATGAAAATTTTAGAGGTCCAGTATGCCAGGACATTCTCTGCAAAGTAAAGGATAACATACTTTGTGAGTCCCACCATGAAAGGTGGAACACAATGGCTGATAGACCTGGAGTCAACATGTTTTACACCTAGGGATACACCTAGTGACCTGAAAGTCTGGCAGCTTTGAGTGTTTCTGTGGAGTCCTAATAAGATAAGCAAGCAGCAATGAGGAAGAGGTCCAGGTGTGGGAGAACAACTGTTCTAAGAATGGCTAATTACAAACCCCTGGCGAAATTACCTCCTTCTGCATATAGTCCCAGTAGCACGACCCTATAAAACTTTCCTCCAGCCCCTGCCACTTTGCAGACAGTCCCTTCTCTGTTACGCCTGCTGCTTTCTCGCAAGATATCTTCATACTTTCTCTAATAGTCTGCCTTCTTTACCCATGACTGTCTTGGTAAATTCTTTTACCACTGGAGACGCTGGTCCCAGCCAGTTGCACCCATGACATTATGGTGGCGCGTACAGGGACTGCTAGGGGACTCCTCCCTTACTTTCCCCCCTTTCCTCTCCTCCAACTCCAGGTTCCCGGTGGACAGCGTCCAAGCACGGAGACAAGTGAAGGTCCCCAGCCAGGGCCACTTCCTGGCGAACCAGAAGGTCTCATAATGAAGACTTCTGACGGCTGCCTCCCCCATTAGGTGAGAGTTTGGAGTTTTGCCTTCATTTTCAGTTTTCTGGAGGACAAACTCTAATAGCCCTCTGGCAATGGATGGCACCTGGTGTAGCCTGAAGACCAGGAGGTGAACAGGTGTGGCCTTCTTGCCAGGGAGGGAGGAAGGCTCTCTCCTATCCTTACTGGTCAAAAGTCCCCAGTCCCTATGTGCAGCGTTGACTGCCAGTGGAAGTTAGACCAGGGCAAATCTACACATGTTTTGGGGGACTCAGGCCCCCTCTTTCTCTCTCTAAGTTCCCACATGAAGACAGCCAGCCACTTTGCTTCGGACATCTTAAGCCAGGTGATCCCCGATAGCGCCGAGAGGGTAAGTCGTCCCTCAACATTTCCCCGCCCCGTGCCCCCATACCTGGATTGAAAGCCCCGCATAATTTGTACTGGACTGACCTGGGGTCGCTCACCCAGCGTTCATACAGCGCAAGGCCCTAGCGCTGGGAGATCTTTTCCAATAGGTTGGATGCCCCTTTTGAAAGTGGATCCCTCAGTGGACATAAGTGGAACCCCCTTTCCTTGGAAGGACGCCCCGAGAGAAATTGTAGTTCATGTTCCCAGTGGACATTGTTTCCCAGTCCCATCATGGTACAAAGCCCCTCCATTCCTTCAGACTCGCCGCTGGGCTGTGTTTTAAAGCTTTGGGATAAATCTGACCCTCAGACTCTCAAAAAGAAACATCTAATTTTCTTATATAATACAGCATGACCACTCTATAACCTTCCAGGTCAGGAGTCCTCTTGGCCTCCAGGCAGGACTCTTGCCCCCTACACTATTCTGCAGCTTGGCCTTTTCTGTCACAACTCTTTTAAATGGTCTGAAGTTCCTCATATCCAGGCTTTCATGACTCTGGGGATCCTGATCTCTGCCAAACCTGATGATGTGCTTGGCCAAGTTCTTTGGCCTCACTTGCTCTTCTAACATTTTGAACGAACCTTCTTTTACTCGCTTCTGATCTCCCCAACCAGATGAACCCACTGAGGCCACACCTTCCCTTGACAAGCCACCTTCATATTCAATTACGCTTAATCCATCTGCTCCTTCTCCCTCACCTTACCCCCAACATCCCAACCCTGAATGTCATTTTCCAGTAACTTACTTGTCAAATTTGTGTCTTCTAGAATTCGGCAGTTTCAACTTCAAATGATGATGTGAACGGGATGTCAGTATCTCCCCAATGATGTCTGATATCTTTACAAACCTCCCCTGGATTCAGTTGGGCACCAATTTTGCCCTGACATGTTCCCCCTCTCTGATGAACCCCTTCCTCCAGCAAGATCCAATATTGTAAGTCCCGCATTATGGGACAATAACACACAGGGTCTCCTGATAGACTAGTAACCATAGGTAGGGTCAATTCTATGTCCCAGGCCCGCAGGAAGCAGTTGGAAGATGAGACCTCCACCTCAATGTCAAAGATTTGTCATTGTTGTTCTGTTGGTGGTGGTGGGGTGGGGGGATGTGGAGTCCTAATAAGCAAGCAACAACAAGGAAGGGGCCCTGGGTAGGAAAGAACAATTGTTCTGAGAGTCAGGTAATCAACTTGCTGGCCCAACTACCTTGCTTTGCATTTAGCCCCAGCAGCATGACCCTATAAAATGTCCCTGCAGCCCCTGACTCTGCAGACAGCCCCTTCTCAGGTGTGCTGCCTGTTGCTTTCTTGCAAGGTATCATCATACTTCCTCTAATAAATCTGTCTTCTTTATCTACAACTGTCTTGGCAAATTCTTTTACCTTCTGTGACACCAGCCCCAGTCAGTCACACCCACAACAGGCTCCAGAGCAGGAGGGGCTCTGCAGTAATTACAGGCTTCAGGGCAGGCAACCTTGCTGCTTGGGTTGGCTTATATGACTTGGAAGGCCCTATGGTTTTGAAGATATGAGTGACTGGAAAGAATGCCATACAGATTTTATGGCAAGCCCCTAGTGGGAGAATCTCGTGCAGACCCCTAGTATTCTGGAGATTTGCAGCCTTTGAGAAACATTTCCTTTTATGATACTGTGACCTGGTATCTGGGCTAGTTTGTCCCACTAACCTTCTTCCTCTTAATCCACCTTATACTTGGAGAATACAGATGTTCCCAGAACCTATAAGAAGTGAATTCGAGTGATAGAGTCAGCTGTGGTTGATGTTTGAGATTGTACTGCCTATATCTCCCTTCAGGAATAAAGTATTTATTTCCCTAACTGTTGGGAGGAATAGCATAAGATGGTCCTCAATTATCAGCTGTTTAGGGGGTTATCCTCAGAAGAACGTTGCCTTAGCCAAGTCACACCTTTTTAGGGTGTGCCTACACTCAATGTCTGGTCAATTTGGGAGTATAACAGCCAAGGTCATTCATCCTAATTTGAGAGATCTCTTAAACACCAGATGAGTTCAGGAGCTTCCAGTGGGGTGGGCTGAGGTTTTGTTTGGGACGACAACCTTGTTCAATTATGCTTTCCTCACTTTCTTTTTCTTCCTTTCATAGGCATTGATCCTAAGAGCACCCCTTCATAAATATACTGCATGTGAGTCTCCATCTCAGAATCTGCTTCTCGGGGATACTGTGACACATTGTTTATCCTTCCTTGGTGGACACATATTAAGGTAAAGCCACAACTGACTGTATACCATTCATTAGAATAAGAAAGGAAAAGATAGTCAATAATATGTCTTTTATTTTTTCCTTTTTATCTGTTTTCTTCCCTCTTAAACTAGAAGTTTCAAGAATGTCTAATCATTTTTTTCGTTAAATCATATTTACACAGCTGAAAGTTTTAAATACAGAAACATAAGGACGTGTAAATTTATTTAAAAAATAATAACTTCTATCCTCATGATTCTCACTTTTATACATGCACCTTTATTTAATATGTTTCTTTATTTAAAGTATCAGAGGCCGATACAAACATAGTTTCAAAAAATCTCCATGATTTTTATGTTACTCTGGATAAGTCATAGTTTTTCATAAATAACATTGAAAAATTTAGAGATACCTATTGTGTTAAGATTTATTGTTTCTCCCTTTTATGGGTTGTGGTGAAATAATATACAGGGGACATAGTCCAATTATAGGTAATATCAGAGGAAAATATACTACTAAATATAGTATATGGTTTCTGGTTCAAGTCATTAGCCAGTACTACCATTTTTTATTTCCTTCCAAGGTCATATTGAATACTTACATAATATTTCAAGAGAATAAAATAATGAGATCATTGGGAAACCACAATGGTAAGAATTTGCAGACATTTTGGGAGTTAGATAAAGATTGGCAGTGAAGTCACAGCAGATGAAATACCAGAGCTATGTTTTTCAAGCTGTGTACTGTATAACTCTAGGGGCTCAATTTGCATAGACTTATGCAGGGTTTAACCTGCGCAAACATCTAGAGAGGCCCTGGAGACACCAACCCAAGGTATACTTATGAGTTGTTTCCCCAAATTATTCCTAAAGGAGTCCCAAATAAAAGCCAACAAATTCAAAGAGCAGAAGTGGGCTTTGGGGCCATAGAAAAAGTCATTAAATGATTGAATACAAAATAGCCCAGAGAGCAAGCCTTTCCTTTCTCCCGCAGCCAAACAGAATGACTGGTAAGAGAAGATTTGCTCTCAAGGTAAAACACTGGAGCAAATTACAGAAAGTCTCTGGTCTTTCTGGGAAGAGTTTGAAGTCCTAAGAGAAAAGCACCCTGGAGCTTTGGACAAGTCCTAACTGCCACAGCAGATAGGACTGGGGAAACTAGAAGTTATAATCTGCCCCGAGGGAAAGAATTTATCCCACTTCACCTCGAGAGTCACTTCTTGTTTTGGCAACTGTGTGGGTCTCCAGGCTCCCTGCCTGTATTAATCAATCTAGTCATTCAATTAATTATGAATAGGCAATCAAGACTAACAAGAGAGTTGAGAACAACCAGCACCATGGGTTTTAGCAATAATAAGACTGCCTAGGAAACAAATCATCTGAGAAAAAAGATAATTGAAATATATACTTAATATCTTTAGAGAGTTTCAAATGATGCTGCATTTTTAAAACAAAACCAGGCTGTCATGATAAAATAATGACAAAAAGTTCTTGAAAATTAAAATATGATTTTTGAGAACAAAAATAAAGAATTTTCTGATTGATACTATAAAAATGGCTGAAGAGCAAATATGTGATCAGGAATAAAATAAGTTTCCTAGACTATGATAAAAATGTAAAGTATAAGTAAGTACATGATAAAGGTTGCAATACATGGATGATAGACTCAGAATGTATAGCAAACAGAAATAATGGAGAAGAAAAAACATTTAAAAATTAATAGAGAATTTTCAAAACTAATATTATAGTATGACATATATAGTATAAATGTTTATGTTGAAGGGGCCTACAGAATTAATGAGGAAAATTACAAAAAGACACACATGTAGAAAGATCACAGGAGAGAAAAGGGAGAGTAAAAAACTTAAATATTAAGAAACAAATATCATATTTTCCTCAGTTTCATCAGCAACACTGAATAATAGAAGACAGTAGAGTAATATTTTCTAATTTTAAGCCTGCAAATCTATATGTAAACAAATTGTGAGAAAAAATAAAAATTAGGAGATATGGAGGAACTCAGAAAATTTCTAATCTGTTAAGCCCACACATACACATATATATGTTTATATGTAAAAATGTGTATGTACACATATGATTTGATATGCATATACATATACATATATATGTGCACATTAGAGTTTCTCAATTTTGGCACTATGGACACTTTGGGTCAGATAATTCTTTGTTGTAAAAATGTATCAAGTGCATTGTGGGATATTTAGCAGCATCATTGTCTGGTAAAGGCAGGGGATCAAAATCACCTCAAGTTAGAAACCACTAGTATCCTTGCATATATATGTATATGTACATATGTGTCATATGTATCTATATATACACAAACACATGCAAAAACCATGTTATGCACATATATGTGTAAGATTTTATATGTATAGGATTATATATATAAGAGTATATATATACCTGTACACATACATATATGAATATATGTAAGATTTTATACAAGGTATACGTAATATATAGTTGACCCTCGAATAACATGGGGGTTATGGACACTGACCTCCATGCAGTAAAAACTTTGACTATCACTCTTTATTTTTCAAAACCTTTATGAATAGCTTTCTCTTAACAAGAAGCCTAACCAATGTATAGTCAATTAACACATATTTTGCATGTTATATGTATTATATACTTTACTGTTACAATAAAGCAAGCTAGAGAAAAGATATTAAGAAAATCATAAGGAAGAGAAAATATATTTAATATTTATTTAGTGGAAGTATATCATCATGAAGGTCTTCATTCTTATTGTCTTCAAATTAAGTAGGCTGAGAAAGAGGAGGAAGAGGAAGGCTTAGTCTTAATGTCCCATGGGTGGCAGAGACGGAAGAAAAGCCATGCAAAAGGAAATCCAAACAGTTCAAACTTGTGTTGTTCAAGGGTCAAAGGAATATATGGACAGATGATAGATAGAAGATTAGATAGATATTAATGGATGGATGGATGGATAGATAGATAGATAGATAGATAGATAGATAGATAGATAGATATAGATAGCAGCCCAAAATCAGCATTCTGGAATGGGTGGCCTCGTAGTGGTTAAGTCTTGGTGTTGGTCCTAGCACTCACAGATAGGCCTTGGTTTTTCCTGTTGAACATAAGTAGTTTCATAGAACATAAACTTGAGACAAGTCCACTCTGTGACCATGATGAAATAAGAGAAATAAAGACCACTATGTAATCATGTCTGAACACAGACAAAATACAAATATTTTTCAAACCACGAACGTGACCAGCATCTTCCTATCTTGTCTAATAAGAGTGACTGTTTTATCCTTATCAATTATATCTTTAACCTTTATCTAATGTTCTCTCCTTCTAGATAGACTTACTACAACATCCAATCACAGAATTACTTCACTTCCTGAGAGCATACAATTTAAAGACAGCCCTACTTACTTAAACTCTCCCAAATCATATAAAGTAATTCTAAATCCAATAGTAGGTTCATTCTAACACTCCTTCGTGAGATGCTTCCCCACAGTTTCCAGCTGCAGTAAGTAATGAACTCAACTTCTTCAGCTGCAGATGCTCCTGGTAATCCAAGGAAGTATTACATAGGATATAAGAAAAATTTGCATATGAATTAGAAAAAGTGAAGGACACTGGAAAGAAAAAAACAACAACAGAAGCCATTAACCATTTGCCATTTAGAAGCTTCAGTTACACAGGGTTTTATTGCTTTTTTTTATGATCCATATATCTTATTTAATTTTACAGTAAATAGTATTTAAATGTGGATATAATAATGTTATTTATTGGTTTTCAGCCTTTATTTAAAAACCTACAAATAAAGAGAGTAAACTTAAGTAATGTACCTGAATATACTGATCAATATTACTTACTTTGATGTTGCCAAAATCATGATAGAGATGATGGAAGTTGAGACATGGAACAGAAAAAAATAAGATGGAGAAAAAGCCAGTGCGATAATCATTACCTCACCTTTCATAGAGGAGACTCATCTTTCATATCTAAGTCTCCTCTAGATAGTGTCTCGATAGTGTTAAAAGTTGATGAAAAAAGATATAAAGCCATAAAAATATAGTTTAGTTAAAAGTTGAAATTACTACACAAAAACTAAAACTAAATCAGTAAAAACTGTTGAATTTGTAGCAGGCGCATGGCAATAGTCTAACTACAGTGAATTCTCAAACTTTATTGAAGGAAGTAAATAGTTACTGTTTAATGTTGACAAATAAAAAATAGAAGTATAGCACAAGATTTAAAGTTGTTATATTAAACTCAGTGTGACCAGTATAATAAACTTTTAGCAGTGGCAGCAACAGCAGAATAGAAAGGAAACCATGAAAAATGGTAGATTTTACTCTACTCTCTATTTCATAGATTTCTGCATACATTTTAACCACACGTGCCTATTAGTTCCATAATTTAAATAAATAATGGTACTCTCATGGCACGTAATACTATGCAATAGTAATGTTTACAGAATATTAAGTGAAAAAGCAATTTTCAGAAAAGTATGCATAACATGACCTCATATATATAAATATATACAAAGTACATATTGCAAATAAATATTATATATAATGTATATAGCAAATGTATATATTCTGTATGTCTTACAAGATGCGCATTTCACAATGACAGATAAATCTTGGAGAATGGGTGGCTTGGAAAAAAGTGAATGGATTTGATAGATATTTAGAAAATGTATGGCTGAGTGATTAGGTGTGGAGAATAGCGAGATGTGAAAGGAAACTGGCATTTTGGCTTGAGCACTAGATGGATGGTCATTCTGATAAAGAAAAATCACTGGGAGAAGAAGAGGGCTGCTTGCTTATCTGTCAGTTCATTTGTGTGTGTGTGTGTGTGTGTGTGTGTGTGTGTTTTCAGAGGATGGGGAGAGCAATAATAACTTTGATTCTGAACAAATTAAGTGTTTGTATTTAGTGCAAACATCTAAATGGGCGTGTTCAATAGGCGATTGGATATACAGGATTGAAACTTGCAAGAGAAATTCAGCCTACTGATACTGAGTGATAGTTGTAGCTTATAGTGGCTCTTAGAGCTAAC